TAATTTGTGTACATTTCAGTGAATTCCAACTGTGATCAAGCTCTGTTTTGATATCCTAAGATCATCATAAAATCAATTTGTTTGTTTTCAAGATGTGAATGATCCACAATGGGTAGAGCACAAGAAGCATGTGTTTGTGTTCAGTGATGCTGGAAAACCAATATATTCCAGGTAAATACTGGAAATTTAATGGTGATTTTTGAACCAGAGTAKACCCCAAAGMCATAAATTACAGTTTWGCCAATTGTCAATGGTTTGATAAAAACATAATTGTTCAATATTGAAAGTTTTGATGATGCTTTGATGATGTGTTACGTCACAAGAAAAATAATTGAAGAAATTTGCAAGCTAAAAATGCAGAAATGAAATTGTTTTGTGAGAATGTTCAGTAATTGAGACAAATGAATCATCCTTTCAATGTATTCACRCAGGATTAACAAATGTTTTATTGTTTTTGTCAGGTATGGCAATGAAGATAAGCTTGGTACTCTGATGGGTGTTATGCAGGCAATTGTATCATTTGTAGAAGACGATGGAAACCAAATCAGGTACATGTACCATGAAGCTCTTGATATCCCTGAAAACTTTCTCTTAGCATGGTACATCTGCAAATCAATAGCTTTTTTCTGAATATTGAAGTGTTTTTTTTTTGTTAGGTGTATAATTGCAGGCAATCATAAGATAGTATTTTTACTGCGTGGGCATGTAGTTCTTGTTGCTGTAGCTAAAACTCATGAGTCTGTCAGTCAGGTAATGGCATATTAATTTCTATTTATAACGGTCATTTGTGATTTATTATCCTTTCAATAGATTTACACCCTGTGGGCCAATTCCCATCTCAATACCATCCACATGTACTGATTTATCAAATTATGATATAAAATCTCAAAATTTATAGTGCCTTAAAACTACATGAAAAGTTCTATTTGGGCTTCCTGTGTTAAAAACGTTAAGCCTTCATTTGGAGGTTTGGTGACAATTAGATTGAAATGGTTGGAGTTCTGGAACGTAGATGTTTCAGAATAAGTCAAGTGTGTAGAAATTATCGTTTTGCTGCAGTTACATTATGTGCTGTCTTTTTCTACTGATTTCATATTTCATAGTTCATATTGAAGACAACTCCAGTAAGAGATTACATCAACGCCCAATATCTGAAATATATTGCACATGTCTGTAGATCACCTAACACTGCTATTACAAAAAGAATGCTTTTTGCAAAACCCACCAGGCGATATTACAGAGACCCGTGGAATCATATTGCCAATTTACTACAAGTCACAGTTCAGCAGGCTAAACGTGTAACGCAGGA